CCGGCGCGCAATTAGCAGCCACCTCCGCAGCCTGCCGCCACCGTCTCCTCGCCTTCCCGGGCTGCTTCGGCAAGGAGCTGCAGCCGTCCCCTCGCACAGGCTGCCGGCATTGTCTTCCCGGTCCGCCGCCGAGGCTGCGGCTGCCGCCTCCGCCAAGAGCTGCTGCGGGGCACCGGGCCCGCGCCCCAGGGACGCGCCGCCGCCGGCCGGCCGGGCCCCAGGCCCCCATTTGATGACTTGTGCGCCCTGCGCTCTCCAGCCACCTTCTCGTAGGTATTTCCTGCAGAGGTGAGGAAGGGAGAAGTCCGGCCGCCAAACCCAGCCTTTCCCCGGCGCGCAGCCCCGACGGGGCCACGGCAGGCGCGGCTAGAGCGCCGACGGAGCCATGAGAGAGTACAAAGTGGTGGTGCTGGGCTCGGGCGGCGTGGGCAAGTCCGCGCTCACCGTGCAGTTCGTGACGGGCTCGTTCATCGAGAAGTACGACCCCACCATCGAGGACTTCTATCGTAAGGAGATTGAGGTGGACTCGTCGCCGTCGGTGCTGGAGATTCTGGACACCGCGGGCACCGAGCAGTTCGCGTCCATGCGGGATCTGTACATCAAGAACGGCCAGGGCTTCATCCTCGTTTACAGCCTCGTCAACCAGCAGAGCTTCCAGGACATCAAGCCCATGCGGGACCAGATCATCCGCGTGAAGCGGTACGAGCGCGTGCCAATGATCCTGGTGGGCAACAAGGTGGACCTGGAGGGCGAGCGCGAGGTCTCGTACGGCGAGGGCAAGGCCCTAGCCGAGGAGTGGAGCTGCCCCTTCATGGAAACGTCGGCCAAAAACAAAGCCTCGGTGGACGAGCTCTTCGCAGAGATCGTACGGCAGATGAACTATGCTGCGCAGCCCAACGGCGACGAGGGCTGCTGCTCGGCCTGCGTGATCCTCTGAGGCCCCCGCGGCTGCCGCGCGCCGGCCGCGCTCTGCGTACAAAAGCCAAACGCACCCGACTCTCTAAATGTGATTTCTCTTCTAGCTTTGAGATTGGAGACGACTTTGCATTGGCCGGGGTATCCGGGGAGCCCGGCTGGCCTCTGCGGCCGGCGTCCCCCTGCCTCTGCCCTGTGTCTGAGGGAGTGCCCCGTCCTGACCATCCGAGACGCGATGGAAAAGTGGCTCTTGGCAGCATGTACGTTTGTCATTGATTTTGGTTGACGCATATTTCCCCGTTTAAGTAGCCGTAGGGTGCTGCATTGGCAGCCTTAACACCGGCAAGCAAAAGTTTCAGCCTGGAAAGAGAATGGGGTGGGGGACGAAGAGGACGGGAAGGTGGAAGGTGGGGGGGGACTTTTTTTTTCTTCAACAACCGTTTTCTGGTTCCAAGTTTTAAATACATGGAAGGAAGTCCGGGAGAACTAAATGAAGGAGCAGGAAGACAGGAGGAAACTTTTGTTCTTCCCTTGTTTTCAGGAGTAGCTGGAAATTAAGATCTGGTTCCTTTTCTGCCAGTTTGGAAGGGCAACCCCGTGACTGATTGCGATTCCGAGGATGTCTATGCAAAGTTGGATTCTTGTTACAGTGTATCCAATCTGAAGTATGCACATCTGAACTGGGGACTATTAACACTGATGCCAATACAGTGTGAGGTGCCAGAAAGTGTCTGCTGATATTTGTGGAAAAAAAATCTATTTTGTTTACCTACTGTATCAAAGGGGAGTCTGGGGGAGAACGGTAGTATTTTTTCTTTTTTTTATCAGCTGTGAAAAAATGTTACAGATCTGCACATTTTTTGTGTGTACTATTATTGTGTGTGTGTGTGTGTGTGTGTGTGTGTATGTATGTGTGTTTTCTTAAGTTTAGCTTTTTGTTATTGGTTGGCAGTAACAGGTTTTGATGACTAGCTCTTTAAAATACAGTACAAAGACTTTGAAAATGTGATTCAGGGCCCCCAGCACCCCTGTGTCTGCAGAGTGCCTTCAAAACTCAGCTGTTCCAGCCGGTGCCAACCTGTGAACTCCCCACCACATCCTAGAATCTGTTATACCCCAGACCACTTCCCAGTTTCCTTTCAGTAATCTTCCTGAAGGAGCCAGGACAATAGGTCCTGTTGTTCAGTGAATTTCTTTATTATTCTAGCCTTTAAAATGTAATTTCCATGTCTTGCAATTTTTTAATTAAAAAAATAATTTTTTTTGCTTCATTTTTCAAATGTTCAGGTATTTAGTTCCCCTTTTATATTTTTAGGTTTTTTTGGTTATCTGTTCTAGGGTGTTTCTCCAGAAGCAAAGAGCAAAATTTTACTGTTGTGATGTACCACAAGAATTCTAATTGTAATTTTTAATTCCAGACATGCGTTTAATCATTGTCTCTTCATTTTAAGACTTTTAATACAAACTTCATTTTTAAAGAAACCCAAACTATTGTGTTTCTGTGTTTCATATTCAGTGATTCAATGCAGCATCATGCTTGAGGTGGACAGAGGCAGGTACATGATGCCACTAAGAATTGTTTATCAAATTTTGAAGACAAGTATCTCTGACAAGTTAGGTGACATTATTCCTAACCTTAAGTATGGAAAAAAATCATCAAGGTGTAGAAAGCCCTGGAGTATGGCCATACCAGCAGACTATGAGATGGGCAGGATACTGTCTGTTCTGACATGGAGCAGTTTACCTCACAGCAGGTAGGGAGGCAAGAAGCCAACTACTACTACTGCCTTTGATCTGGGAGACTAAACACAACCCAACCGGGTCAGGCAGGGTAGCACTTTTAATTTTCTTTCTTTTTTTCCTTTTTTTCATTTACATCACAGATCAAGTCAAAAACATGTTTGGGGAAGATGATTTCCAATTCTTAAGTCATACCTAATAGTGTTTTCTGCAGTACATTTGTATGAGTTGTAGACAGAACCTCACCCTATTTGAGGTTTTGAATTGGTCGTTTGATTAAAAAAGAGAAAAAAAAGGAAAAACTAAAGACAAACCCCTTGCTCTCATTAAATTGCAGTTTGTGGACCATTTTGACCTCATGAAATTTTCCTTCTGACAGTAGGAGGCAGTGTGAGCTTTTTGTTTTCTATTTACTTTTAAGGGCCACTTTACAAATAAAAGCTCTGTAGAATAAAAGAAGATGTATGACATATCAAGAGCTTGGTTTAGCTTGAGTCTATGAAGCGTAGATGAAGTCCCCCGAAGGGTCTTTTGACGTAGGAATTTACTTTGCTGAGGAAACCAAAAGAAATTACAGGCCACAGGTTTCTTTCAAGCCGTATGAACCTCTTGCCTTAAAATGTGTCCTTAACCCAAGTGACATAGTCCAGCATGGAAGAGGAATAGAGAAATTTGTCTGTGATGGTCCTATGACCATTTTTTTTTTCACTCCTGATCTCACTTAAGTTTAGTATCAAACTCAATTGGAAGGCGATACATATATTCTAAATACAGAAATTGAGAAGCTACTCAAAATTTTGCCTTGGCGAGGATTCATTCTTGCACTTGAAATTAGTTGCATAAGTAGATCTAAAGTGTTGAAAATTCTGAAGACATACATCAGGTACTATGTGAAAAACTTTTTTTTAAAAAGGCACTTGGTGGTTTTATGGTTTTGCTTTGTTTTTATGGAAGTTGTTGACATAAAATGCTGTCAAGTACCTAACTAACTTAAGAAATGTATATCCTCCTGACACGGTATATTTGAAAATGGAAAAATGGAAATGAAATAGGTTGCTGGGTGTATTAATCATCTGCACTCAGGATTTAGTCACTTACATGACTAAATTCTTTATAGGTCTGAGGTGGCAGGACAGAAGATTTTAATATGCTTTTACTGAGTACTGTAAAATAAATGCTTTTTGGATTCTCAATGAAAGTAATTTTGTGTGTGTGCCTGGAGCAGGAAAATAGTAGTCTTGAGTTTTATTGTCTTCTCCATTAGTTTCTTGACAAAATTGAGAGATATTAAGGACATTGTTTTAAAAAATGCATCAGTTTATTTGGCTGCTAAGAACCCCTTTTAGTATTATGGTGTGAAAAGATAAGAACATTTGTTTCCATGAAAAAGTTGGGCTGACTTCTGAGTGTTAAAGGAAGTGAGGGAGTTTGTTGTTGGCAATCACCTGTCCAAACAAACTGGTGGGAAATAAATCTTTATCTTGGGGAGCAAAAGTTAACTTTTAAACTTGACCCCTGCTGTTTTTAAACAGCTTTTCCTTTTGGTTCCTGAGTCATCCAAGCTTTTATGTTATTTCCAAGGATTATTTTTCTCCTCTGTAACTGCCTCAGACAAGTTGAAGGTACCTTAACTCTAACATTTTTGCTCTTAGGTAAAATAAGTTCCATATTGTTAACTGCTGAAATAGACTTCACTGAATTACATTTTAGGATCAGATCTATTTGGGGTTAGAATTCTTTAAATGTATGAGGCTTCATGCTTCCTGATTAGTTCACCTTTCCTGTAGGTGGGCGTCCTAAAATGCCTAATCCATTTGAACTGTTCAGGTAGTTTTATAAATGTGTCCACTAGCAAGATAATTGCACCCCCTTTTGAGTTATAATTTAATGTTTCTCACAGGTGGGATGGGAAAGAGAACGCTGTATGTACAAGAATGCTGCTCTTGAAAAATAGATGCAGAATGCCTGTATCTTAACTGTCATAAAAGCACATATTTTTCACAATAGATGAAATTATAATAAGGAATCATTATGAATAATACATATAAATATGAAAGAAATAAAGATTGAGTTTGGAGATGACCATCATTAGTTAAAATGATATCAAACATCTGTCACAGTGTCTCCTTAATTGGGATACAAATTTTGTCCTTGTGAAAGTGTAGCAAATTTTTAAATATTGATAGAATGTTATTTCTTACCATATTTTACTCAGATACTAGAAATAATTGAATGCATTTAATTGAACATGGTGCTAATTGTAGAAGATATATAACTAGTAATGGTGGATTTTGGTGGTCCGAGAAGTCTTTAGAGATCACCTAGTCCAGAAGTTCTCAAACTTAACCACCATCAAAATCACCTGCAAGTTAAAACACATATTTCTGGGCCCTCCCTCTGGTTTCTTATTCAGTATGTCTGAGTATGAACTCATACTTTTAATTTCTAACAAGTTTCCAGATGATGCATATGGCTGTTCCAGGGACAATCACACTTTGAGAACCAATAATCTAGTCCAAACTCCACATGAGTAATCAAGAGCTACCCAGATATTTAGGGTGTGATATTTTAGGGCGCTGCCTACCACTAAGTCATAGACTAATCTTGATTGAAATCTATAGCTGAAGGCAAAGACCATTGACACTGAATCTTTAAACCGTTGAGGGTGAAATGGAATAGACATATTGCAGCTAGACGCTGACCATTTTCACATTAAGTTAACAGTTTCGCGGTGGTATTTGAGAAGTTGACTAAAATGAGATGATTAGAAAAGGGCATGGCCTAAATAATTAGAATCAGCATCTCCTCCCTCATAAAACAATGTTGAAAAAAATTATCTTTGATAAAAGAATACCTCGAATTATTTGTCTTCTCTTTACTTAAAAATTAAAGGCAAGGACTTTAACTTTTCACACTTCCTAGCAAGGATTCAAAACAAGAAATTGTATTTGGGAACTTAAATCTTCAGGTCATGATAAACCCCATGTGGGTGTCTATATGTGTCTATATGTGTGTATGTAAATACATAAACTCAATTTTCTAGTCAGACTGCCCATGAATTACTCAATTCAGTGTCATGCAGTTCTGCAGTTGTCCATTCTATGACAATGCATACCCTAAAATTGCCATGCATCTATTTTGTTATGAATCTTAATCTTTGGGAACTGTGAGGTTGATTTGTTTTATAAATTGGAAGGAGCAGCTATTTGTAGTCTTTGGTTGGTATTAAACTGAAATCTTTGAGGATGTTTCTCTTAAAGTGTAGAAAGTATGTGCTTTTTTGTCCAATGGACTACACTTAGTATATTTAAATTAATTACCTGGCAAAATTATGTGTAGCCTAGTTTATCAGAGGTTTGAAAATGTACGGTTGGTTTATTTGTGGTAATTGTGGAAATATAGCAAAAACATTTTTTAAAAATAGAAAGATTTTTGATGCCTTGAGAATAGAGGTGCCTAAAAAAGGCCTGAGTTTGTTTTTTGATTAAGAATATGTTTGCAATAGGAACTGGTAAACATCTGAAATTGATTCATTCCTTATTCAACATTTATTGAGCACATACTATCAGCTGTGGTATAAGGACTTATGCTTCAATATGAAGAAATCAGACAGAAGAGTGACATTGTGCTTTTATCACCAAAAACTGAGAATAATATATGTTACATAATAGGAGTATATGGAAAAGCATTGTGACATATGCCACCAATTATAATTTAATACTATGGGTCTGTCTGGCAGGCAATAGAGTAGGTAAATTTGTTGGCAAATTGGAACTTTACTTTGAAACGTATGTGGATATTGCAAATAAAATTGGATCCCATGAGGTTTAAGTAACTAATATTTGTTTTGTTGCATGTGGAACTCCAGTTTTATGCACGGTTTCCAACTTCCTGTTTGAGATTAGCTAGAATTGAACATTGAGAAGTAAGAAATCAATTTGCTTTCATATTTTCATGTTAAAGGGAAGAGGGAAAAATGAGGAAAAGACACAATGTATTTACTGTCTTTTTTTTTTTAAATAAAGGAAGCAAAAAAGGAAGATGATTGAGGTTATATTAAGAAACAATTTTTAGAGTACAGTCTTTTGGGATTCCTCATGTGAGGAAGATTCAGAGTAGGGTATTTCTTTTGTAGAAGGTAATCTTCTAAAAATGAGTGTGCCAAAGAATTATGCTGAGTTTTAAGTTTGCTAAGCTTATAGTTATTTTATATAAAAGCTCTTGTTCTCATGCCTTTAGTGTTTATTGGAAAAAGGCAACCAGCTCAGAGAAAGAAATGTTGGGCAACAAGCTGTAAGAAGTACAATAGTAGCAATTATTTAAAAACCATATAAATTGAAGGGAGTTTTATTATTAGCCTGCACTTTGCAAAATGATTTCTAGTGAGTTTTGTATAGACTATGTCATGAATTTAACAAACTAATTTTTAAATGTGGAAAGTTACAAAATTAGAGGGATAGCAAAAGAGTTCATCTGAAGGTACCTCATTGTTTTATTTTTTTTAAATCTGATTATTATAGAACCATTTATGAGATGCAGATTTATTACCTATAGTTTTATAGCTAAAGTAGTTTTACATTTATCATGACATTTAGTCATGAACTCAGAATATTTTAATGTTATTTACTATTATACATATTAATGTACTATTTTAAAATATTCTCTTTAAACCCAAACATTATATTGTATTATATATCATTCAAGAAAAGAGCCTCTATAGAGATCAGTACTAGCATAATTCTATAAGAACATATTTGTCAATGAAATATATTTTAAAATATTTTTTAAGATAGAATTACATTCAACATTCACTAGGTAAGAGAATTACAAGTATATTTCTAAGTTTGATTTCAACATCATTCATCATCTAGTAGAAAAAAGTCTTGAATTTGGAGCTCTTTACTCTGAGTTTGGTTATCTTAGCTTTACTTGTCATATTACCTGTTGTTTTTCTTTTTGTATATCATTTCATTCTTCCATGTCTGATTTATGCAAACGATTTTCTCTGTCACAAATGTAATCTATATTCATTGATAAAAAATCTACAAACTGCTTAACTAATGGCTATATATAAATGTGTTTTCTGTGTAATGGTGTAAAGAGAGAAGTATTTTTCACACTTTGAGGTCCAGACTGAAAGAGACCCAATTAGTGAGAGAAGATTGCCCACTAAACAGACATTACCTTCGGGTTGAGGCATAATCTCTGTATTTCATTTTTAAAACAGATAAAAGAAGATTTTTAAAAATGAATTCAATCATAGGAATTGTCATAGTATACTAAGGATTGCTGAAAAATATTTCCAGGCCATCTCTTCTTTCTCATTAATCTTGTGCTGAGGTCAAAAAGTGAGAAATAACCCAAATGCCTTCTCTTTCTTTAAGAGAATCTTATACCTTGAAAGGCAGGGCCAACAAGAAACAAAAACCTAATCCAAAGAGCAAAACTGTTCTGCATTTTCCTACAAACCAGTTTTTATTTTGTATCTGAGGAAGCATAGTAGAAAGGACAATGAAATCTTTTCCTTAATCGTTTTGGTAGTGTTCAGCAGGCGGCCTTGGTACTCTTGCTAAGGAGAATGTAATGGAGCTGAGAAGGAGAATCAACTCCAGTTTGAGGTGGAATTGTTCCTCAGCCGTCACCTCCACTCCTGCAGTCCGCCCACACTAGAGGATTTCCTGTGTGCAGATTAGCTACGCATTGCTTTTCAGTGTTTACTGAGGCTTAGTGCTACTATTGGCCAAAGGAGAAGAAACCTATGGGATGGAGTAATAATGCTACTATAATAAATTTCACTCTTAACTCAGGAGCCTCAACTTGAGTACTATAGGCATCTTGAACTGGATACTTCTTTTTTGTGGAGAGCAGTCCTGTGCATTTTAGGATATTTAGAAGCGTTCTGAGCCTGTACCCACTAGATGCCAGTAGCTCCCTCTCCCTGCCCCAGGGGTGACAGTCATGGTGAACCTGACTATGTGGAGGTGGAAAAGGCAGGCATAAACCAAACTAGAGGAGAAAAAGGATTGAACCTTGAGTAAACTAGGAGCACTTAGGAATTTTCCTTTCTCCCAAGCAATGGAATTAATGCTTATATTTCAAAACATCAATGCTGTCTGCTGTGCTTGGAACAATAGATTGAATGCACACCTGAAGAAAAACACAACATTCAGGGATTGAGATTTACTGGGGAGTT